GGGCAGCCAGGCTGGATGGAAGAGAAGTGGCTGCCTGGCCAGCTGGCCATGGTGCTCAGCCTGGGTGCACTAAGCTCCACGTGGGCAGGCGCAGAGGAGAAGCCGCCGATCAGCTGGAGCGGGGGCAGCCTCTTTCAGCTGAAAGCCAAAGTCAGCTTGCTGGGGTATTTCAGCCCTCCTGACCTCCCAGCTCCCACCATTCCTCGCAGCTACTCACCTGTGTTGTTGCTCGGTGAGTAGCTGCTCCTCAAATGAGGACATCTAACGTAAATGTACTGTGCAGGCACGCAGTTCAGACAGGGCTCAAGAGCTACTCTTAGAGCCTCTGAGATCTACCGGTAGATTGCGATCTACTGGTTGGTGACCACGGCTCTACAGGAAGGGTTAGTTTTTCTCACTATACTCCACAACAGTACAAGAGATACATTTCTCTTGCTGCCTCCTCTGCAATCTGTAGGCCCCCCAGGCACAGAAGAGGACCTGAGCTTCAGGGCATAGTGTACACATTTGGCACATATGTGCAGGTATATTGTGGTAAATGCTTAGGAGTAAAGGTACAGGTACTGTATTCTTGACTGTACTAGGGCAGTGGTTCTCAACCAGCGGTACACATACCCCTGAGGTTACGCAGAGGTCTTTCTGTGATAAATTTCTCTTGCTGCCTCCTCTGCAATCTGGTTAGTTTTTCTCACTATACTCCACAACAGTACTGTGATAAATTTCTCTTGCTGCCTCCTCTGCAATCTGTAGGCCCCCCCAGGCACAGAAGAGGACCTGAGCTTCAGGGCATAGTGTACACATTTGGCACATATGTGCAGGTATATTGTGGTAAATGCTTAGGAGTAAAGGTACAGGTACTGTATTCTTGACTGTACTAGGGCAGTGGTTCTCAACCAGCGGTACACATACCCCTGAGGTTACGCAGAGGTCTTTCATGTGGTACATCAAATCATCTAGACATTTGCCTAGTTTGACAACTGCCTGCATAAAAAGCACTAGCAAACTCAGTACAATGAGTTTGCTAGTGCTAAAATTGCTAAAATTCCATACAGACAATGACTTTTTCATACTACTCAACATACTATACATTGAGATGGAAGTAAAATATTCCAATTGATTTATTTTATAATTATATAGCAAAAAAGAGAAAGTGAGCAATTTTCAGCAATAGTATGCAGGGATACTTATATATTAATATGTCTGATTTGGTAAGCAAATAGTTTTTAAATTAGGTGAAAGTTAGATGTGTACAAAACAGATCAGACTCCTGAAAGGGGTACAGTAGTCTGGAAAGCTTGAGAGCTGCTATTTTAGGAGACAGCAGCAGACAGAATGACAAGGTCTTTCTGTAAACTGTGTGTCCTCAGAAATTATTTCAACAGTAGATATGTACCAAGTACATCTTGTGTCATAGAATTTATGTGTATAATTGGCAAAAAATCCATTATATAGTTTGATAAAGAGCTTGTATATTAATTTTAAAACAAAATAATTTGTTAAGATTGAAAAATGATGAGTGCCAGGGGAAAAGAGCATGGTAACTAAAATATATAAATAAAAATTACTCTAATTTTTAGAAAGCCAGGAAATTTAAAGTTAAGGTTATGCTTAAAACCTCCAACGTTTGGAAATGACCAATTAAATTCACCTAGACAGATTTAACTCTGACCCCATCTCTGTCCATACCATATCTGAAATGAAGACCCAGCCTGATTCCTGAACACTGTGCACAGAACAACCAAGGATTTATGTCTCAGTCACAGGGGAAGAACACAAACATCTGACACATTATAACTTGTATCAACACCAAAGAAATGGGCAAAGCCCTTCTCACATTCTTAATAGAACCCAGTGTTGCCATAGACAAGAATGTAAATACCCCTCAAGTCCATTAGCAACCAGAACTTTTTGAATCTCTGCAGTGTTGGGGCTCTTGAAACACATAAAGTCTTCTCTACCTGCTAAATATACCTTGCTTCAGTATTCAAGGCTCCAGGCTTCCTCAGGTTCATATGCAAATACTCAAATATAGAAGTGGAAACCACCTAGAGTTATGAGCTATAAGATGCCAATTTTGTGGATATATTGTGAGATTAAGCATAAACCCACATCTACTTTACATATTATAAACATGTATCTTCCATAAACAGCCTTCAGCTTTTGTCAAATACACAGGCAAACTCGGGACATACGCACCCTCCCACCTGGCCCAGGGGCAGGGCAGTTCTCCTCCCCGCCACCCCAGGATGTAGCCCAAGATTACTGGCCAGCGATGCCAGACTGCAGCTATGTAGTGTCCTTGCAGTGTCCTTCTGGTCAAATTTCAATTTCACTGGTGTAAATCCAGAGTATTGCTACAGATTTCACGGGAGTTACTCTGGATTTGCCTCACTGCACATGACACTCCAGTGTTTATGTCTTAGATTATATGGTTATTTGGGTTCCCTGAATTTTGCATTAATATATTTTCAATCTTTTTACATATATCATTGTGTTTTGAAGGCACTTTCCCCTGAAGTTATATGCATATTCAATCTTTGCTCAAGTTTAATGATATTTTAAAAATTTATTACATTAAAAGTCAATGTTTCTCAGAATTGATTTCTGACAGAAAACCATGGGCAGTGAATGTTCCCACATTAAGTCTCTATGCAGGGTAGATATAGGGCAGGGCAAGCGGGGCGGTCGCCCCGGGCTCCGCGCTTCAAGAAGCCCCGCACATACGTTGTGGCGCCACTGCGCATGTGCCATGTCAAAGGGGGGCCCCACAAAATTGTGCTGCCCTGGGCCCTGCAAAATCGTCATCTGCCCCTGCCTCTATATGATGTACAGAAAGTCCATGTGGACATTCTACTGTCCTTACTACATAGGCACTTCCTGTGAATAGTTATTCCTAAATAGCTTATTTCAAAATAGCACGTCAACACCGCAGGAAAGCCTCAAAATTAGTTTGAGGCAGGCTTACTTAATGTAGACATGCTATCTTGAGTTGGAGCCCCAGAAACACTGGGGAGGAATAACTTAGAATGGCCTTGGTAAGGGGCTATTTCAAAATAGCAGCAGTGGAGTGTCCACACATGCCTTATTTTGAAATAACTGTTTTGGAATAGGCGTTATTCCTCGTAGAATGAGGTTTACAGATTTTGGAATAAGCTGTCTATTATTTTGAAATGATTTTAAAATAACAGAATGTCTGTGTAGAAGCTCACATTATCTTTTCAAAATAATGCTAGTTATCTTGAAATAGAGGTGCAGTGTAGACGCACTCCAACAAATCCTAAATTCGTAACTCTTCTAAACTAGCCAAAGCAACTAACAGTTTTTGAACCCAATAGCATAAAACAAATGTGGAATCTAAATTAGGAAACTTTCCAGAAAGAAAAAAAAAACCCTCAAAAACCAAAACCAAAAATAAAAACCACCACCATCACCACCACCAAAACCTCATTTCTTAAAAACACTAATTGCACCAAAGTGCCTTGTCTAATTTGCCTTGGACTTTCATCAACAAAATTTACTCTGCGACCCACATGAAGCATCTCAGATGGGTTGCTGGTTTATTTCAGCAGG